GAGCTGAGACTCAAAGGATATGAAGGGGCCAAACAGAATATGAGAGGGGAGCAGTGAGCAGCCAGTTTCAAGGCTTTAAGGCAAGAATAATGTTGGCATGTTCATAGGCACAAATGGTCTCAGTCCATTTTGTGCTGCTATAACAGAACACACAGACTGGGTAATTTATAAAGACTAGAAATATATTTTCCTACAGTTCTGGGAACTGGGAAGTCCAAGATCAAGGTACTGCAAGGTTGGTATCTGGGAAGTACTTCATCTTTGCTTCTAAGATGGTGCCTTGAATGCTGCATCCTCTGGAGGGTAAGGACACTGTCCCTTACATGGCAGAAGAGAGAACAGCAAAGAGAGACAAACACTCCTGAAAGCCCCTTTCAGGCACTAAATCCACCCATGAGGGCAGAGCCCTCATGGTCTAATCATCACTCAAAGGTCCCACCTCTTAGTACTATTGCAATGGCAATTAAACTTCAGCATGAACTTTGGAGGGGACCAACATTCAAACCATGGCAGTTGGCATGTTTATGGGTTCTTGTATAGGGACGGAAGCAGAGACCAGTGAGGGGGCTGCAGCAGTGATCCAGGTGAAAGGAGATGGCAGCTTGGAGTAGGATGGAAGCAGTGAGAGTGGAGAGAAGGGGAAACTGATGGTTTTGTTGGTGGCTTGAAGGTGGAAGGTGGAGGAAAGAAAGGGGTCAAGAGTGGCCCCTGAACTTTCATCTAGAGTAGAAGGGTGGTGCCAGTTGCTGAGATGGGGAACACTAGGGACATTTGGTACTGGGGGTGGGGGTCAAGAGTTCTGGTTGGGGTGTGTTAAATTTGAGGTCACCATTCGATACCCGGATGGTGACTTTGAGATTTCAGGGGGTCAGGGTGGGGTTAGGGCTGGGCATATACCATGTGAAACCATGGGACCACAAGAGATTTCCTTGGTAGTGGGGGTGGATAGAGAAGAGGACCAAGGACCGAGCGGCCACTAGGCCATGAGGCCATGCCAAAAAGGTCAAGCAAAGAAGGAGGGAAATTTGACTCAACAGCTGAGAGCTACTGCAGTGGGCTCTGCTCAGTTCGAGTCCACAGGAAAGGGTCTTGTACCTCCTCGTCCGCAGCTCTTTCACATGGTGATACAGTGAATCATGTGGGAACTCTGCCCAGAGCCTCTTCATACCTTTTGACTGTGTGTCCTGGGTACTGGCTTCAATGTTCTTCTGCTTCTAATAGCCAGTTCCTGTGTCTTTTTTTTTTTTTTTTTTCTTTTTTCGTGACCGGCAACGGATCGCAACCCTCAGTGTCGCACCCGTACCGGACCGGGACCG